GGGGGCTGGTGCTGGCCTAGCCGGTCCCCCCTGCTCTCGGCGCTCCCCAGCACCAACGGCTCCTGTCATAAATCGCTTTTATTGCCCCGCGCTGGGGTTGGAAGCCCCTGCCCCAAACCAGGCAACAGCGGCTCCAGCATGGGGAAACGCTTGTCCCGGGATGCAGGAGGTCGCTCCGAGCATGCCGGGTGGGAAGGGGCTCAGTGCTGCTGTCCCCAGTGTCATCCATGAATGGGGGGTGCCCGTTTGGGGACACGGGGTCTCCAGCAGCGCTTCTCCCCAAAGCAGCCAGCACTAGAGGGCAGCAAGTCCCGGAGCTGGGACAGCCACGGCGGGGATGGGAAAAACAGCATGGAGAGGAGGGAATAGAAAAATAAAATAATAATAACTTAAAAAATACACACATGGATGGCTGGGAGAGGGGGAGGTGGAGCAGAGTCTCTCCTTCTCTGAGAAGGAAGGGGTTTTCCTCACCCCTCCCCATAAATGTACAAAATATACATATAATCTGAGGTAAATAAGGCTGTAAAAAGGCAAAGAGGAGCAAGCAGTTGTGGTATCAATCCCCTTAAAAAAAATAATGCATCACAAAGATTTTCAAAGAAAACATGGGGCTCTCCCTCCCTCCCCTCTCTCATGCACACATAAATATATAATATATTCGGGATTTAAAAAATACATTTCTCTTCTGTAAATTCAGAAAAATAGAGGAGGGAAAGGGGTTATGCACAAAGGAAAGGGCTGAGGGGAGCTGCTCGTTTTGGAGAGCTCTTGCAAAGTGCCTCTGGTCTCGGAGGAGGGACATACAGCCACTAAATAGGAAGGTAAATGCACCAAGGAAAAGCAACGAGTGAACCGTGTGCGCACGGGGACTGACACGCTACACGTCACTGGGGGACCTGGAGCGGAAAGGCATCGTGGAAGAGAAGCACCCGCAGCACACGGTCCATAGGACTTTCTGGATCTCTTGGTTCCTGAAGGCGTAAATCACGGGGTTGATCATGGAGTTGTAGGTGGCGGGGAGAAGGGTGACGTATGTGTAGAGGGCCGGGTAGCTGTAATCCCCCAGCAGGCAGTAGATGGCAAAGGGCAGCCAGCACGAGGCGAAGGTGCCCAGGATGACGGCCAAGGTGGCGATGCCCTTTCGCGTGGTGACGTAGTGGGAGCTGGCCAGGAAGTGTCTCTGCACGGCGATCTGCTGCGCGTGCCGGCACACGATCCTGCAGATCTGCACGTAGAGCTGCAGCATCACGGCGAACACCATGAAGAAGGAGACGGAGAGGATGACGAGGTGGTTCTTGGTGAGAGGCTTCACGACACTGCACGCCGAGGGGGCCTTCAGGCAGTTCCAGCCCATGACGGGCAGGAGCCCGTAGCAGACAGAGGCTCCCCAGGTCAGGATCAACATGATGTAAGTCCTGGTGACCGTCCTCTCCGAGTAGTAGGTCAGGGCGTTGTAGAGGGACAGGTAGCGGTCAATGGTGATGGTCAACAAGCTGCTGACGCTGGCCGTGAAAGAGGTGACGAGGAGCCCCACGGTGAGCAGGCTGACAGCCTCCGACGGCATGAAGTAGATAAAGGCAAAATGCAGGATCAGCCCCAAGCCAGCCAGAAGATCGGCTGTGGCCAAGCTGCCAATGAGGAGGAACATGGGAGCGCGGAAAGTTGGTGTGTAGAAGATGACCACCACCACGATGGCGTTCTCGCAGGAGATAATGGTCCCTGAGATGCACAGGGCGACATCCCACGGGTTCAAGGCAACAGGTCGCACCACAGACTCCAGATCCAAGGAGCCGCCGCTGCCGTTCCTGGCTGCCAACCATCCGCGCTGGCCTCCGCTGGAGTTGTGGGGCCCGTCCTCCATCATGCTGCCAGAGACCGACCTGCAAGAGCATCGCTCTGAGCACCAGCCGTCCACAGCAGGGACCTGCCAGAGCTGTCACAGAGCCCCAGAGGACCCCGGGGCTTCCCCACGAGCCGGACGCGAGCAGCGCTGACCCGACCTCCATACATTTGCGGCATGTTCTCTGTTTGCTCAGAGGAGGAGTTTCTCCGAACAAGGTGTTTTGTTTTCCCTCTTTTGCAAGCAAACAAAAAAGGAAAAAGAAAAAAAAATACAGAAAGGGGAGGCTTCTCAGCCTCTTCACTCCTGCCAGCATCCGCTCCCCTGGAGATGCTCGGTGGCAGGGTCGGGGGGAGGTGTGCATCGCTCAGTCTTGATGGATAAATATTCCAGCGCAAGAGTGACCCTGCCAGCCCCCAACCGCAGCCCTGGGCAGCTCAGCTCCCACCTGCAGCTCCCAGTAGAAAAGTTATGGGCATAAAAGGCAGCAGGGGAAGAGGCTGGTGGGGCAGAGGGAGGGGGCACAGAGCCCAGGGCCACCCGCCGCCCCCCCCCA